ATAAAATGCTACTGAATGTTTCTAACTAAGATTGATTGATCATGTTTTCATATTGCGCACATGAAACGAGTTATTAAATTTTGTATTAAAGATTCTTTTATAAGTATGCTAGCCAACTTTTATGTGTATTTTATAATGCTTAAGTTAAGCTTTCTTGCAAACGGTTTTACCATACAATGTATAACAAGGCGTAAAATTTTTTCGAGACATTCGCGGTCGTTTTCTTGTATATACTTTGTGTGTGAGAGTATGTTTTAGAAATAATCTTTTCTTTCCATAATCACCCAGCTTTCAATACGAATTATTACTATTAATTCTTGCATCTTAAGGAAATTTTTCAACGCAATTGTGTTGGCAGTTGCAAATTCCGTTGTAACGTTCTTTTGCTTTGAATTCTTTCTTTTTTAATTTTTTTTATTGCTTTTTTACATTTTCACTTAGATTAGTACTTTATAAAATTTTTTCGATTAGTGTTTCCGCTGATGTAGATGTAATGGTTTCATTATCAAACGTTTAGTCTATAAAACATTCCGTAAGTTTTTCTGGTTCCGCTTCACCCGTTTCAGATGCTGAACTCTTGCTAGGCTCATAATTGTCATCAGAGCCAGAAGAAAAGTGTGTAATAGAATTTTCTGGTGACTTCTCGAAAAACGTTACCACTTCTTCATCATTAAAATTTTTATTCCTTTTCTTTTTACGTAACACAACAAAATTATTTTAATTGTTGTGAGTATAAAATTTTGCCTTAAATTATTAATTATTTGCTTCACTTATTAAAAAAGTTATAACTTTAAGTTCTGTACTGATCAACAAAATCCAACAGAATACTTATTTGTTAAAAATATTTGTCTTATACATGAAGATGCATATAGAATTAAACAAAATTAAACAAGTATAATGTACATATGTACGTTTGTTTTGTACGCTGTTTTATTGCATTGTTTGCCAGGGAAGACGATTCAAAATTCAAAATTAAAGTAGTGTATAAGACAATATGAAACAGTGTATCAAGTTCTTACGCTGTTTTACTTTTCAGTTTATTGCAAAAATTTTTTTTATTAAAATTTAAAAAGCGTGTAAAAGTAACATACACTTTTTTATTTGGTATTGAAATTAACAACTGAATGATAAATTTTCTACCAAAATAGTGTAAGAATTCATTACGTTATTTTAAATTTTGTAAAAAGTTACGGTTTGGCAATAAAACAAAGTAAACGCATTTTACGCTATTTTGTTATTAATTAGTTTCTAAAAATGCTTTATACAATATTTTCGTTTTTATTTAAAAAGTATGTTAAAATGAAAAGCTAGAGAAATATAAAGTAACTCAACTTATAGAATCGACTATGGAGAATCCAATGGTGATAAAATCGGATAACGACGTATAAATGTTATACGCTGTTTTCTTTCTCAGCCGACGATATATAAGAGTGAAGAACGTGTAAATTTGCAATGCACTTTTCGAACCTTAAGTTATATACTATTATTAAAAGCGAAAAAAAAAATCCTTTCATAACCCTAGAGAATTCATTCGATTATTTCAAAACAGCTTGACAATGTTTAAAAAAAACGAATAAGATGAAATTTTCAAGGACCAAAGAATTGATCACACTAATTTATGTCTCTTATTCAGTTTTAATCTGAAGCTCAAATTTAACTCTGTTTGTTTGTTTTATGTAATTTTTTATTCCTTTTAATTAACCTTACTCACACACTTATGAAAACGTAAATTAAAATGAATAGCCTCCATTTCAAAAAAGTGAAATAAAAATAAATATTTTTAATTGAATAGAAAATACAAAAATTCAGTTTAAAAGCATAATTTTTAGGTCTTCTTTTAATTTATCTCTTATGCATAAAATACTTAATTGGAGAATAAAGGGCACAAAATAAACATAGAATTGTTCAGTAGAAATAAATTCAAGCTTTAAGCGAATAAAGCCGTAATATTCTAAATTTTATGGAATTTAATAAAATATGATTTTGCAGTCATCTTATACGAAAAATTTCAAAATAATAGAAAACTAAACTTCTGCCGTAAACACTGTTGATTGTGATTTATATTGATTTCTTGCAATATTGGTTTGTTATAAAAAAAATTGAATATTCCTGTATTGAACAATATTTTTTCAAAAAATGAAATTAGAAATATGATTTTTATTAAAAAATTTTTGATGCACTACATGATGCAGAAAATTCAGTGTTTTAAATTGAAAAATTCAACTGAAAATTTATCATTATAAAAAATTGAAAAATCTCATATAGCCACAATTCGAAATAAATATGTAGAATCCTCCTATTCCAAATTCAGTGTCAATTAAAAAATAGTTAAATAAATACGGCAATTATGGTAAAATAATTGCCGTATTATCAAACAAAATTAAAAAAAGTTGCTTTTATTTTAATAGTTCCTCAATTAACTTGGATCAATCAACTTTTAAGGAATAAAACGCAACCAACTAGGACTAATATATGTGTGTATAAATTGAAAAAAAAAAAAATCATATTATCTACGTTTTTGTATATAAAAACTTTAAAGTCTAAATGAAAATTAATTCTAAAAGAATATCCAAGTACAGCTCACTTATTTTTTTGTTTCAAAATCGCTCAGTATTAGCGCGGATATCGACGGTTTTCAAAAAAGTCAAATTCTAAAAATAAAGAAAACTTAACTATTTCAGTCCTTAAACATAATTTTCTTAACAAATTTTGTCCTTTCCTTAAATATTAAATTACAAACTACCATGCACATTGCATTTTCTATACTCAAGTTATAAGACAAAATTTTCAATTACATTTGAGAACGAAAAACATAAAAAATACACAGACGAATAAAAAATATTTTTGTTTAGTTTTTCTTTAACGAATTTTTTTTGGGGGGGAAAATAAAAACAAAACAAAAAACTACCAAAACTACAAAATATTTGTCATATGAGAGAATTTTTTTTTTAATTTTAATTTTCTCTTCTTTTACTCTTATATGCAATTCTCGATTGTGTCCTTCTTATTTTTGTTTTTTAATTTCTTATTGTTGCAAATCAGAAAGAAGAAAAAAGAGCAAAAATAGAAAAACAATTAAAGAAACAAAATTAAAATGGAAAAAATCTTTTCATACATTTTTATTTTTTTTTTTTTCATTTTTTGTTCTTTTTATATAAAAAATATGAAAAATAGAACCAAAAACTCATTTCAAGGACATTTCATAGTTTAAGATTTTTTTTTTGTTCCTTTATTTTATTCTTACTTTTTCTTCTTGTCTGATTTCTACAAATCCAAAAATTTTAATGTTCGTATGCTTTCATTTTTATAGTGCACAATTTTTATTGCATTTTGTTTTGGCACAAAGTTTTGTTTTTGTCCATTTAGTCAAATTTTTTTCATTTGTCGTTTTGCTTTAAATTAATTTTCTTATTATTTTTATTTTTTTTTACATTTTTCATTTTCAAAATACCCTTAAAATTTCAATTCAAACATGAATATCTGTTATATATCTAAATAATGTTGCACATAAAATGTTTATGCCTATATACAATTTTGTCGCATCACATATAATACAATATGTAGATAATATATTATACACTATTGTATGGGGTTCAAGTATGTGTATAACAGTTGTTTATATTATGTATACCTATCTATATAATATAATATTCCCATTTCTCAAACATTTGCTCTAATTAAAAGTTGAAAAATTCTCATTTTTATTTATACAATAATGTTATGTAGCACATTTTATACGGATGTATACATGAATATAAAATGGCCAAGGATAACGCAAGGATATCCTCAATTAAAATTGTTTCTTTATTTTACGTATTTTTTTTTTTGCCTTTCTTTTTTGTATATGAATTTATAATACATGTTATAAGTGAGCATATAAAATGTATATAAGGTTTAGGCATTTTATGTTTTGATATAAGGATTCACAATATTAAAATTTCAATGCACCCAAGGAACATTTTAATAAATATGAGAGAGAAAATTTATTGTTGTGTTGAATTTTATGTCATAAATGAAAATCAAATATAAGATTGGACTCAATTGGTACAAAATATTCTCGTTCTTAATTATTAGTGATTGCTAAATTATTAACCATATAGCTGATTTCTGAATTGCTCTACAAAATTTATAAGATAAAGGAATATTTTTTACTACTAGCTGTGGGTTTTTTTTAAGTACAATTATTTTCATAGGTGGACATTATGAGAGCACTTTTATACGTATGAGGAAATATAAAATAAAATTAAAAATTTATGAAAAATAGGATGTGAACTACTTTTTTTATTTTTTGCATGAAATAATTATGTTTGGTTAAATGATAAGGATATTTTATAAGATGGAAAAACTAATTTGTTGTTGAGCTTATTAAGTGTCATAATTATTTTCTACAATAGTTTAGTTCTAAAGTTTTTAAAATTTTTTAGTTTTTTTTTTTTGCATTTTGTCCTTAACACTTCCTTGTTATTTGAGCTAATGAAATTTATGCATTTAATAGAATAGAAAATAATTATTTTAATACTTTAGTATCGTCTCTGTACACTAAATGTATACAGGAGGGGTTATGAGAGATTTAATAAAGTATTGTATACAATAATTAATTTTTTATAATCAAAGAAATTAATTGATGATTTGCTCATTTTCATTTTGCTAATAAATAACTTCCGCATTATGAGTATGTTATGAGATGTTAGAATTTATTAAATATTAAAAAAGATTTCGAAAAATTTAATAAAATTTTTTTAATAGAAAGATTGAAAAATTAATATTTAAAGTTCACTTTGTTAGGAAAATGTCAGACCGAAAATGAAAACTGAAGATAAACTGAATAATAATTTAATGCTCAGAGTTTTAGAAGGTGTAGTTACATAATATTATAGATACTGAATACAGATTTAGAAAGCTAAAGTTCAAAAAATTAATATTTTTTAATTTAAGATAAAATTTCAAATTATTCAAAAAAATCTCACTCAATATTAAATTTTAAATTTTTTGTTTTACAGCTGTTTGCAGTCTTGATTGTGGACCAAATGGTGTTTGTGAATCTGGTAAATGTCGTTGTAATCCTGGTTGGACTGGAAATCTTTGTGATCAATTACCTTGTGATAGTCGGTGTTCTGAACATGGTCAATGTAAAAATGGTACTTGTGTCTGTTCACAAGGATGGAATGGAAGACATTGTACTTTACGTAAGTTTTTAAATTTTTTAAAAATTTTTACTAGTAATTACGGTTGTACTGTAATAAAGTTACTGTTATTATGAGTTGTCAGCTATTATAATAGTAAACACTTTTTTATGGTCAATTTGAAAATAAATACTTGTAAAATAATTTGTGATATACCGCTAAAGCATGATGTCGAGTTGTGTTAAAATTAGAAAAAAGTGCTATGTAACTTCACAATAAAAATTAGAACTTTTATAAAAATGATAAGGTTAAAATTCAAATTTTTCGAACTTTGAAGGTATGTGATTCCGAAATCTTAAAATATTACAAATAATGTAGATATTCATAAGAAAATTCATTGTTCTGCGGTTTCTAAATATTATTAAATAATCTGCCTATTTGATGAAAGAAAGAATTTTTAAAAAGCAAAAAAAAAATGCTCGATATTAGCTTAAAGTTCCTGTACCTCAAAAGTTGTTGAGCTGTATACATTGTCTTACAAAAGTTTTACCTAGTCATAAAGGTCTTTATGACTAGGACAATTAATAGACAAGAATATTTCATATAATATTGAGATAAAAAAAGTAAGGGTCGGTCAAAATAATGAAGCACACGGTGATTTTTGCAAGGATATTGGCGTTCAAAAGTAAAATTAATAATAAATTGTATAAATATTTTCATACAATTCAATTGCGCTCAGTCTATAGTTATATGGCTAATTTTATTTGACGAATTCACTTGCATAAAAATTTGCGTTTTGAAAATATTTTAACTCAAATTTTGTTTTGAATAATTATACAAATTTGGAGCTTGAAAACTGAGTTTTAATCAGAATTGCGTTCTTTAATTTTATAAATGTTATAGACACACAAATGAATATTGTCTTTAACATTTTTCATTCAAAGAAATCTAAATATCGAAGCTAAATTTGTCTGTAGTATCCCACATTTCTGTAAATGTCATCTGTCATTCTAGTCTATAGAATACCATTTAGAATAATCGATTTTTTTTCCCCATGTTTTTCTTTAAAAAAAAAATATTATTATTTTAAAATTCCAATATAGAAATGAGATTAAAAATCAATAAGAAAATCAACGTCGAATAGAAAATTTAAAAAAAATCAATTCACTTTATGTATAAGTAAAATAGATTAAGAAATTTTACTATGCTTACATTCGAACACACGCTTCTGGAAAGGAAAGCAAAAACAAAATGTCTACTTAAAATTTAATTTCAATATTATTTAAAAAGAAATTGGACAGAAACTATCTAATATGGTTAAAGAAAAAAACACAACTATTTGTTTTTTTTTTTTAAAGTCTACATGTTTTTCTGGTTCCACTTCTATATTTTTACTTCAGTTTGTGATAAGTTTTCCAAAAATAAAAAGAAAAAACAAAATTTTTTAACTTTAATCCTATTGACATCCCAACCTTTGATTTTCATCTCATTCCAAACCTTAAAAACTTTGTTACTCCTTGTTGTTGTTGTCTTTTTCAACAAAGTTGTGTTTTTGCATTCCAGGTTGCTTTTTTTTTTCTTTTTGGAAAATGTCAGATACCAACAACAACACAGAAAAAAAATACATTACAAATCCAAAAGGATAAACAAAATCCTTTGAATTTTTTATCTGCTCGTCTTCTCTCTGTGAAGGAGTAAACTTTCAACAGCACACACTAAACAAAAAACAAAAAAACGAAAAAATTCTAAAATAAAAAGGAATTAGATGACAAAATCTAATTTTTGTCCTTAAAAATGAATTTTTTGAAAAAAAAAATTAATTTTTTTTTATTCTCCGCTTTTCACATTTCTCTTTGATTAGATCCGACTATAAGGTAGTCAAATATACCACCACACCTTCACAAGGAATAAAAAAATGAGTGGAAAAATGTAGATAAATAAAAAATAGAGAGAAAACAAGAAAACAAAATTTTCAAAAAACTTCAAACGAAATTTTTTCGTAACTTCAAGGATTTTTTAATGCTTTTATTTCGGAATTTGTGTTGCTTACTTGTTTTCTGTTTTTTGTTTTTGGTGTTTCCTTTATAAAATTCAGGTAGGTTTTTATTTTCATCTGTTGTAACTCTTTTATTTTCTTTCTAGTTTTTTCTTATTTTATGGGAAATTTCTGCTGTTTTTTAGGTCTTTTTATGTATTTTCAAAAGAGAGGTTATCTGCCAGACTATGATGCTTTAAGCATTTTTTCGTTTTCCTTTTTTTATGATTTTTTCGAATATTTTTCATGCTCACAATACCAGTCTTTTTCCAGTGGCATTGATAATTTAAAATTTATTACTTCGTTTAGAAGCTCATTATTATTGTTATTTTTATTTGAACAATACCTATTTCTTATTACATTTCTCATTCACCCCTAATCTCTTATTAATTAGACTGTGAGTGTACAATGCATATACGAAGATATACATATGCATAGATGTACGAATAATGTGATTGCGACGCCATATTAATATTTGATTTGCAGTTCTTCGTAAAAAAAAAAATTAAGGCAACAGCACATCATTTTGTTATTGCGTTGAAAACCAAAAACGCGAGGAAAATATATTTTTCAGTTGAATACCCTATAGATCCTATATTATTCAAAGTTACGTTCTCATTCATAAAAGTGTATATTTCACACAACTTCTTTAATACATAAATTCTAGTATATTCGAATTTTATTAACTTTATTACAATCATAAATTTGTTAGTTTAAGCCTTGTATTTGGATGCTCTAATATTCGCCACCAAGATCTGAATGGACTAAGAGTTTAGCAGCCATAGCTGTTTACTATAAGTCTCTGAAATTTGTTACAAAAATAATATTTTAATAATGTTTAAAGATGAAAATTACAGAATCGTAAAGATTAGAACTTTTTTAGGAGGAAAAATAGTAAATGAGATGTGGAGCACTACGAGTATTTTATTGTAAAAATTATTAAATTTGACGAGCCATACATTAATAACTTTAGCCTTGCCGTTTGATTTCAGAAATGTACTTTGATTATGTAAGTTGGACAAACTGCAATATGTCAATGATGTCAGTGGCTATTAATAATATAAAATTAAGACTGCGTGACGCATTTTGGTCATCTATATTCCAAATTATCCAAAATTTTGTCATAAATTAAGTGCCGAAAGTTGACAAGAATTATTCATTTCATTATATTAATTTTTTGTCTTTTCTGTTATTTTTTTTTTTTTGGTAATATTTTCGTATATCCCGCCGGTAATGTAATCGTTTTATCTTCATGTCATTGACTATTTCAGCTTAATGTTATGTATTTTTGTATATAATGATATTTTATGATCACATGTACATATCTCTATATATATATATTTTATATAAGAACCTTTATACTAAGTAAAGGTTTATTCACAAATAAGCAAGCACCTTAAATAAGATAAATGCAAAAAGATTTGGAATAAAAAAACCAGCAATGAAAACAAAAAACAAAACATCATAAAAAAATTTTTGTTTTTCTCTTTAATTTTCCTTTTACTTAAAGTTCACACAAGTATACGACGCTTGCTACCATAATATTATGTAAAAAGCTTAAATTGCTTAAAACATTATAACTATATAGAAAAACTTAAGGATATTGTGTAGGGAGCAAGGAAATAAAAAAATGTGAGAATATTTTTATAAAAGGAATACCAAGAGGGATGGATGGTTATAAAAAAATGAAAAGAAGAAAAACCTGTTAAATAAAGTGAAAATACTTAAGAATTTATTGTATTTAGTAGAATGAAAAATCACTATCAGAAAATTAGAAAGTTTTATTTGAAAAAAAAAAAAGAAAACCCAAAATTTAAGACAAAAACAAAATACATCAAGAAAATATTCTAGCTGTGATATGAAAACAAGAAAATATCCAAAGTTTTTTAGTATCAAAAAATAAAAAATCTGATCGACATTGTAAAATAAAATTAAAAGCACTTTAAAAGGATTCCGAAAAATTAAAGCATATAAAGAGTTTACGTAGCTAGCAAAAATTTCCAAATCAATAACATTTTTTTTTTAAATCCTTGCTTTCGAACTAAACAATCACAAAAAAGTCGCAAACAAATAAAAAATTCTTAGAATTTTATGTGAAAATTACTTACGTAATGGTGTTTTACAGAAATACCCAAGAGACAATGAGAAAAAAATTGTAGGAAGTTTATTTTAATGACAATTGATTGTTTTAGAAGCTTAAGTTCAAATGTTTTCTTTTAAATAATTTTTTTTAAAGAAAGGTAAATAGGTAGCTTTTTTTACCCCTTTCTTCTGCTTTATCAACTTTTTCTTAACATAAGAGCATTGGAATATTTATTTTAAAGAATAAGAACGTAATCGCGTCAATAAGAACGTAAGAAGAACGTAAGTTTTCATCATGTCGTCTTACAACAGGACACTGATTTGAACAATAATCAAAATTTTATTTAACAAAATTCTATTTAAATTCTATAAAAATTCTACAGTATTAAAAATTTGAGATTGTTCTAAATGTAAAAAACCTTACAAGTTTTACAATAAAATTTGAATAATTTGATTTGATTTTACTTATTTTTAAATCACGTTGTTAATGATTTACTAAAAAATGTTTTTTTTGTAAATGTTTAAGAATTTGAAAAGTAAAACAAATGGTCATTTAGTAGAATTTCTAGAGTCTAGTAGAATCTCTAGAGTTTTTTAACGTTTTCCATGTAAAATACCGAGGTTTTCATACATTTTATACTCGAACTACATAGTTTTTTATGTTTTATACACAAAACACAGGGTTTTTTACATTTTTTGTACAAAGTAAACAGTTTTCTACATTTTACACGGGAACATCGAGTTTTTTACTATGTTATACACAATTTATGTAAAGTTTTACACGGAAAAGACAGAGGTTTTTTACATTTTATACACAAAATATACAAATTATGTTTTTATGAAAAAATTCTTTTAAAACCATTAGATAATTTCCCGAAGAAAATCGGCTTTTATAAATTGCGTGTAATGCGCACGAAACATAATACAGTTTAGTAAATGGAAAGTATAATTTTTTATTAAAATTAAAAATTTTATGTTATTTACGTACAATGGACATTATTTTATATTCTTTTTTTTTTCGTTTTGTGAATTACCTAGTTTTTTACATTTTACGGCAAAGTTTCTTTTTTTTGTGACAAATTTAAAGTCTGAATATGAAAATGTCAAAAAACTCAGCTAATATTTTAAAAATCTGCTGAAAAAAATTTGCGTTGTTTGACCAATGGTAAAAATCTTATTATTATTTTGCAAAAACATTTTTGTCAACATTTTTTTTTGCTTAAGCATACCAGAAAATATTCTTTTTTTATTGAGAACATTTTTTATTACGTAGGTTTTTACATTTTTTACTTTCAGTAGAAATTTTCCAAGTATTTTATGTACCTGACCAAACAAAATAATTGAGGAAATGTTTAAAAATATAAAAAATATGTACAAAATATTTAAAATTTAAGGCACTTAAAGAGTCTTTTCATTGTACATACACAATATTATTATAAATTGTAAAAACTTGGGAATGTTATTAGAATTTTCGAAAATTATGAACTACAAATTCTTTTTACAAAGGAAACAAAAATATTTATTTCCTATACGAAAATCCGTACAAAAATTTTAAAACATAAAAAACAATAGTTTTTTTTTCGTAGCAAAGATTTATAAAGTCTTAAAAAAATAGGAAATATTTTAACAACAATCAGATATTAGAAAAAAAAAATCCAGAGGAACAAGTTTTGGAAAATATTTTAAAATTCCCGGTACAGTTTTTATTTGTAAAATTTTTGTTTTAATATCATAATTTAAAAAGATATTAAAAAATATTTAACATGATCCATTTTTGTAAAAAAAATCGCAAATTCCGGAAATTATAATAAATAATGATAGTTCCTGTAAATATTTTAAATATAAGGTTTAGAAAACATGTTGAAATTTATGAACAATGATACGATTTTTTATTTGACTTTAAAATTTTTTTAATTGATTTGAATACGAGAATTTTTAAATAAGTTATTAGATACAACCCCTACTTGTAGGAACGGAAAGCTCTTTTATTCTCTAAATGCCCATCAATAGTCGCAGTCTAAAGAGTAAACCGATTAATTTTATAAAATTTGATTAATATGCTCAAATTTAATTAATTAATATACCAATTGAATTCTTTCTTTATATTATACCAATTGAAACACGATTTTCAGCGCAATTTATGCTCAATTGAATGTAAATTTGAATGTATATAAAGTAATGAAGTGACACTATCAAGAAAAAATTGAATTAATATGGTTGTTGAAAGTCCTTTCAGTAAACAAACTCTGAAATTCCCAAATATTTCGACAATCAAATAAGACTGTATTTCAAAAAAAAAATTTCATTTGAATTGAAAATGAGCATTTTCACAAAAAATCTTATCCACATTTCAAAAATAGCCATATAAATTAAACTTTAAAAATAGTGCATCTGCAGGATCGTCAAGTATGTACCAATAACATTAAACTATTTTTGAGGCAATAGCTAACAAGTACAATCAGAAAAATAATTTAAATTAGTAGCCTAAATAAAATGGATCCCCTTATTCAAATAGTTGCTCTCATGCCTCCAAATAATAAGGAATACCTTATGTGGTGAATCCTGATTAATTTAATTGAAATATTTATTATTTTCTACTTTATAAAAAATTTATCACAAACTAGTTATTAAATCATCGTCAAAAAAATATTTACGAATATTTAAAATTTATTTTCGACACTATCAAAATCCAAAAACAGAATGCCATACCTACAATAGTCTTTTGATTTTATTACACAAAAAAAAAAACCATAAAAAATCATATAGTGTGAAAAATTATATTTTATCGAGCTGGACATTGTAAATAAATTTCATAAAAATCTTATATAAATAATAAGAACCCAAACAAAAAAATGTCTTTAATAAAATTTCAAACAAAAACTTGGTGCAATTCCAAGGAATTGCAATGACTCTTAAATATTATAACATTAAAATTTTTATTTATTGAGGGGTTGATAATCATTAAATATAATCAAATAATAATAATCGGAATTTCGTTGCGGTCATATTTAAATACACTACTAAAAAATTTTTATGCAAATTAGGATTTTTTAACAAAAAAATTTTATAAAAGGAATTAAAAAACAAGGGAACTGGTTTCTATACAAATGGTATGAAATTTAATGAGAAGATCATATCGTATTACTTTTCAGTTATAATAATAAAGGATAACTGTATAACATAGAGGGGTTATTTTTTTTTTATAATAATTTCAAGTACACCCACTAAATACTATAAATCCTGTCACAGGATGTCAAATGAATTATTAATTTCCTTAGATTTTTTTTTCATTTTTTATTTGTTCTTATTGTTTTATGCGACTATTATTATTTTAAATGAAGGCTGAACTTATTATTGTTATTATTATAACAATTATTATTTGATTATTTTTTTTTGTATAATTTATTATTTTATAGTGCAATAATTTTTCATAATAATAAAATGTATTTATTTGTATTTTTTGAATAAAATAAAAGTGGGGTCGAAATTTTATAATAAATTTTATATTAAATTGTCCGTTAATAAATTTTTGCATTCTGAAGACTATTTACGTTTGGGATCCACTCTGTTTTAGATTTTTTTGTTCTTAGTCGTGTTGAAAATATTATATGGCTTCATATGGTTCACGCTTGGGTTCAATATCGTTTAAATGTTATAAAAATCTTGTATTTACGAAAGAAATTGGATCTTAAATTTCAGGAATAATAGTCTGGCTTAATTAATATTTTATTAAAATTTAAAAATTTAGAATATATATTCTGATTGTGGGTATTAATTTAAATTAAAATTCTGATTCCTCAAATAGATTGAGGAGTTAGAATTCTATCTAACCAAAGTACTTTAGAGTTTCACCGTTTGCTCTTAAGAAAAAAATTATTTGTTCTTATCGTAATTTTGTGTTCAATAAAATTCTGATTTACTCAATGACTCTCTAAATTTTTGTATAATTAAATTTTTCAATACTACAATATTTAATTAATTTTTAATTTTGTTAATTGTTTAATTTTAGCTGGATGTGAAAATGGTTGTTCAAGACATGGACAATGTACATTAGAAGAAGGTGAATATCGTTGTGATTGTATTGAAGGTTGGGCTGGATCTGATTGCTCAATACCATTGGAAATGAATTGTAAAGATAATATTGATGATGATCATGGTAAGTAGTTTTTCAAATTTCTAATAGCTATGTATACAAATTTTATGTTTTTTCCATTTCAAAATTATATCAAAATTGCATACATATAGGGGCTTAACTATTTAATAATGAAGATATATGAAATTATTATACATTTTAATATTTTATAATTGATCATAACAAACGTTTGTGATAACTTACTAAATTCTACAAAATATTTTAAGTTTAATTAAACATTTTTAGGTTAAATAGATTTTATACTAAAATATTAATGTTCAACAATCTTACGCGCATATATGGAATCGAATCGACACACTTTGAATTAAAGTAATTTTTGAGTGATTTGTGTTTATTCAAATATTGGCAGATAATATAAATTTAAAACGCAATAATACTGTCTTTTTGAATTCAATTCAGCTTCGGTACATGAGTATCTGATCAAGTCGAGCCAATCACAATTTTCTGCTTTTCTATACATTGCCAGCCTTAAGACAATCAAATTTTAAAATATATTTTACTGCATATTATAATTTCTTCACATAAAATATTATAAAGGATATTGTTAGAATTTACTAACTAAATGCGTTTATGTATTACGTACTTAGGCAACTCATAAACTATACAAAATATTATAAAATGTGACTGACCCAAATTTTTCGAATGTTATTGCCTAAAAGTCCGGAACTTTATTATTTTATTCTGTTTTTAATTTTTTTCTTTCGTTTTCAATTGAAAGAAAACTTTCTTATATGTACACTGAAAAAAAAATAAACAAAAATTAAAAAAAGAATGAAGTGAATTCAACTTCAAAGTACAATAAAATTTAAAAAAAAAACAAAAAACAAATAAAAATTAAATAGAAAAAAGTAAACTCAATTCGTAATAGCGTAGAAGAAGAACAAAAGAACGGTAATTTTTTTTTTCAATTTTCTTTTTTGTTTTTTGTACAAAATGAAATATTAAACGGAAAAACTGGGCAACATTGAAAATGAAAAATATTAGCACGATAAGTGTTTTTCATTCTTCTTCTGTTTTGTTTCGGTTGCCTTCATTTTTCCGTAACTACTTCTCTGTTATATTTTATTATTTTAAAAAAGAATTATTGGTTTTTCTTTTTTTACTATTTGATTTTTTTGTTTTGTGAAAAAAGTTACAAATTTATAATAGGAAACGAGGAAAAAAAAGTTCAATTGAATTCGCGACATTTTGTTTTTTTTGTTTTTCTTTCTGTGTTTGCTGTTTGCAAAGAACAAAATGAAACGAAACGACGACAATGAAATGGGAGTGAAATTAAAAAAAAAATAAAACAAAACATAAGGAAAAAGTTTTTTTTTCCTCTTATTTTTTAAAAGCCATCAGTAAAACATGATGGCATTGCGCTGAGTGTTAAAGTATACCCAATAGAGAATGCACCATTTTAAAAAGAAAATTTGTAAAAGTTTTTGACTCTTTTTTTTCTCAGTTTTTTTTTTTTAAGTTTGACACCTTTAGATTCATTTGCGCGCAACAAAACTTTCTTCATCATTCTATACAAATAATTGGTTTTCCTCCTTTTATTTTAAAATTGTTTTTTTTTTTAGTCCCAAGTTAAAGAAGTTGAATTTTTTAGAATATTTATTTTAAGTTTATTTTCAATTTTTGTTTTTTTGTTAAGAATTATTTAAGAAATAAGAAAATTAATTTTCTTTTTCTTTCAAAATGATATATGGGTACATATGCATATACATTTAAACATATAATATTGCAGATGAAGTATATGTGCGTGCAATTGTATATTATGAGAATACCTACAATTAAATATTAAAGAAACTGAAAGAGAAAATAATTGAATAAATGTTACAAACAGCGAGTACTACTAAATTTAAAAAAAAATTAAAGTTAAAATTTATATTTAAAAAAAAAAAACATTTTCTTTCTCTGTTATATGTATATATTACCTACCTACCTAAATTTTAAATGGCTTCTGTATTACATTGAAAGGATCCTTTATACATACATTATTAACAATATACAAAAAAAAACAAGAATTAACAAAAAATAAAGAAAAATAAAATAGAATAAAAAGGAAACTTCTTATTTCAATTTTTTTTATAGAATTTTTATTTTCCAAATTTACGTAGTTTTATTGTAAAAATCTAGTTAAAAGAAGAAGAAGTAGAAGACGAAAGAAAAAAATATTATAAATTGTGTGTATTAATGTCAAGGGTAGTTTTCTTTTGCCAAATTTGTGAAAATTTGTGAATAAATAAATCAAATTTTTATACACAGTTTACAATATTCATTTCGAATGTAGGTCTGATAGATAAAATTCAATTTTATAGTACGTTTCAAGCAAAATTTGGGAAAAGAGGTGCTAAATTTGAAGAAAAAATCTGTTATGCTATATTAGTTGCATTTTTGGAAAATTCTAGACAAATACATAAGTGTTTACTCAATCAATTAAGAAATATCTAAAGGGTGGACCCTCTATTGAAATTCATAGTTAATATAAAAACATAATGTTAAAATTTTCACAATTATTTTAAGTCGTAATTATTTAAAAAACAATGTTTTAGTACGGAAATCGATACTACTAATCTTCCAGAAAATTAACAGCATTTGTCTGTTATATATTTTGACATAATATACAAATCTATACAAATGTTAAAATGCATGATCTTTAAGAATTTCCAAAAAAAAACATTTTTATAACAATGTAGAACAAATTGAGAAAGGTTAATTTATTCCAAATAATAGTAATATGTCATATTGTTTCCAAAAACCTAGAAATAATGTAGAAACGTATAATAATAAAAAATATCTTAAACATACCGACAAAATAGTCTGAGAAACCAAATTTTCGCACCATATAGTTTGAACCACGATATAGTTTTTAAATGTTTGCACAAAATAAATCTAAACAAAGCGAACAAAAATAATTTAATTTTAAAAATAATTTTGTGATTTAATTGAAAGGGATGAAAACATCCTTGTAATTTTATAGGATATTGAATATTTTTAATTGTAGATCCTGTAGCATATATCACATTTTATATATTTTGAGTACAATGTGGAAATGAAACATTAAAAAGAACATGAAAATTTGAAAGTACGTGAAACACTAAATTAATTTTTGAATATTCTCTGTTATACTACCCATTTTCTATTCTTGATTATTTATTTTGATAACATTTAATAGTAATTTTTAGAGGTATTGTTGTGGAATCAATTTGGAAACAATTTAGTTATTGTAGTAAAAAATTTAGTTATCATTTAGTTATTATGGAAATCACTGTCGTATTGCGATTATTTTAATATAATTCTTTGTAATTGTCAGCTCTACGTAGGGCTTTGTTTATATAAGGATCAATTATGTGTTATACAATTATTACATTTCCCATATTAAATGTAAATATATTAATTAATATAAATTTATTTATAAGAATATATTATGAAAATTTTAAAAATTTCTAATTAGAAATATTAAATTTTACTATATTAAATTTTCTGGAAATATTTTAAGGTTACTGTAACCAACCTCCAATATACAGTGCTGAATGTAAATTGAACACATAATAAAAAAATATATAAAAAATATTTCATGTTACTACTACATTACTAACCGTATTTTTTTAGCACATTACTAACCGCACTTATTTAAATTACATTTAAAAAATGTAAGATCGGCCCCTGGTTCAGTTTTCAAGCCTTAATCTTATCAAAAAACTTGCAGGTTCATTGTTTTAACACCTCGAATTTAAATATGAAATTTCAAGGAAATTGTTTAATTATTTCACTTTATATGCTCAAAAATGTAAAATCAGTCTGGAAAAAGGTTCAGTTTCCGGAGCCTGATATATCCCAAAAGTTGGTTAATCAGTGATATAGCCAAAATAGACTCATGTATAAAATTTCATGAAAATCGGTTCAACCGTACTTAAGGTGCACACATACTCACACAAACTGACAGACCAACAGACAAACCGATCTTTTTATTTAAACTTCCCTGCCATGGAGAAGTTCGTTCCTACTGAAAACTCAAAATTAGCAATTTGGTGTCATCACGAAATCTCCTTTAGTGTATGCGATTTGGTCGGTGAAAAAAGGGTTGGTATATACATATTTTATTTATTTTTAAATATAAACTTAAAATGAAAAATATTCTACAATTCATTCAACAATAAATCAGTAGTGTTTACAAAAAAATTTTTTTTTAATAACACAAAGCAAGTAAACTTTGTAATTTTATAGTTGTAAAAGAAACGATTTTTTTTTTTAAATATTTTCTTGTTTTTTTTTTACTAACTTGTGATGATTACTTTTACGATTTGTTCCTACCTCAATTTAAAAACAAAATAAAATTTTCTAACTTGTAGTTTACTAAAGGTTTGGATGTGTATGTATGTGTTTTTTAACATACAATTTACCTACCTTGTTTAACTCCTTGTTTTTTTTTTTATTTTTTTTTTTTTTTTTTGAACAATCACTTGTTTATTGTACATTGAATTTGATTGTTACTTACAAAGTTTTATTCAAAAGTAAATAAACATATAAAAAAAATGTAGGTAAATAAATAAAAAAAAAAATATTTACAATTTTTTTTTTCCTAATTTTCCGAGTAAATATTTAAAGGTAAAAAATTGCACCGGGAACTTTTCAAATAAAATCAATTTCCCTTGACAAATAAAATGAAAATGATTTGAAAAAAAAAACAAAACAGAAAAAAACAAAGCTATAAACAAAAAATAATAAAGGAAATTTTGTTTTTCATTCACTTTTTTTTTTGTTTTTCACTTTTCAAATCATTTTTATTACAATTTACACAAGCGAATAAACAGTTATTTGAAATAAAATATACATAAAATATAAAAAAATATAAATTAGTTTATCGGCAATATTATACCTATATAGAAGAGGGCTCATAACTGTATTCGTGTACCTAAAATGGATGATTATTAACAACGATTCATTTCCTATATGTATATATATATATATATGAAAAGAAATTAAGGATGCGATTGAAGTGTAAAATTAATATGAAAATTTACGTATTTAGGATATAGCTATATTATGGAAAACACGAATATTTAAAATTGCACATATGCTATATGGCATAATACTGGTATTATACACTATAATTTTCGTGCAGATTGTAGAAAACGTACAAGTATAAACTTTATATTAAACAAGAATACCAACAGTGTATATGAATAGTATTAATGTATAAGAGTTAGAAAATAATTTAAACAATATGGATTTTATAAATTTTTCGTTCTATGTGTTTTCAATATAATGATGAGAAATGATTCAATTAGAAAAGAAATATATTATGAATTGAGCCTTAATTCATATTTTCTACAAATCTATAATATTTTTTAAATTGCATTTTAACAGAATCATCTAACGTAGAATTTGTTGTACGGCGTTGAATTGAAAAAAAAATAATCAGATTGAATGATATTCTAATTGTAGTTGTAGTAAAATATATTTTATAGGGTTACCTATACATTTTATTTTTTATGCATCATTAAAATCAATTAAGTGAAAAGTTCTTCAGTAAATTAATCAAAAACCTTTTTCGGACATAAAATATAGCAGCTGGCGATTAGAGTTGCAAGTCCGTATTCAAACTTGATGATTTTTATTTAAAATATTTAATAAATTATTTACTTCGAATATAAATTTGGAATAGAAAATATTTTAAAGCATCGAATTCAATTCTTTCAACTCTTTTCCTTCATCAATATTTCTTTGTTTGACTCTTATTTTTTAGCAGTAAACCTTTGACTTCGATTTTCTGATTTCCGTTCCGACTCATTGACTTTAACTCTGATTCCTTTTTACTATGACTCCTTAACTTCGATTCTGACTCCGCAACTCTGACTCTTTGACTCCGCCTCTCGAATTTTTTGAAATATTTAAAAATAATTTTAATTTATACACATTACTCCAATAATTTATACACATTACTCCAATAATCAATCTGACCATTGGTGCAGTGGTTATGGCACCGGCCCTTTAACCGAAGGGTCTCGAGTTCAAACCCCGGGCAGGTTATAAAAATTATATTCAATATTATATAACTTAATATGCAATACTAATAAATATTATACAAGTAATTTTCAAATATTCATAATATTCGATACTAAAGACTAAGAAAAATAAACAGTAAATATTAATAACCTCAAATAATTAATATAAATAAAAAAACTACGGCAGGCAAGTCACCTACCTAGTTTTAAACTCTATGACGCTATGAAACTAGTGCATGAGAAATCATGCACTAGCCCTATGCTCCTTCTAGGAGTGAAGAAGGAAAAAACAAAAACAAAGTGAAGAAGAAAAAAACTCCAATAATCAAATACAATTCCCCAATCTTATTTTTTCGTTTTATGATTATCCCAATGCATTATGTCACCTTAAAAATCCATAACTATAACTGATATTTTCTATTCTGCGTATACCCAATCCAAATGCAATTGCAAATTATTTATCCTTTAATATGAAGAATTTCCTATTTTTTATATTCTTTTGCGAAGAATTATTATTGCTTATCTACTTTTGTTGAAATATCAACAAAAAAAAAATGTCCTTTAAAATACATAAGTATGAAAATCTGACAAATAATAATGATCTGGTGCTGCCTTTATGCTAAACTCCTATAATATAAAGTACACTCATAACAAGACAAAAATATTTAATAACAAGAAAAAAAACTAAAATTAAAAATAAAATCTGGTTTACATAAATATAGAGAATGCGATGATAAATATTAAGAAAACTTATGTACAAAATACAAAGAGAATGTTTAGAAGGAAGTTTATAAAAGACTTTCAATTGTATAAGAAAAAGATATATAAAAAAAGAAGAGAAGATTTCAAATGAAGGAAAATATTTGATATCCTCACAAATGAAAAATAGAAATCGAAATAGAAGAAAAAAAAAATTTTTTTTTAAATATGTTTATTTTTTTTATTTATTTTTTCAAGTTACAACTTATAATTCTTTTCTTTACATCCATTGCTTCAATAATGTCCTTTAATTCATGAATTCATTTTATCTAAATAATATAGATGTACTATACCCTTATATACATAGATCCTGAGAAATATTCTATTCTTATTTTTTTCTCCATTTTTATTATTTTTATTTTCTTTATTATTTCAAAAAGCTTTACGAGTTAAATTTAAAGTGTTTGCTGTACGTATAAAAGAGAGGATATAAGAGGAAAACATTTTCATTACATGAAGGGTTCTTTTACTTGAATTATATTCAATTATATAATCCTTTAAATATGCATGTACACTGGCACTTAAATAAAATGAAATGAAAAAAGAAGATGAAAACATCTTTAATATTGTAACATATTTACATACTTTTTAAAATCAATAAATAAAATTGCAAAAATACACAAAGAAATTTTATAATAATAGTGTTTAAAATTCAAGCTCAATATATCCATTTACAATATATTATTTAAAATGGATAATACAAAATTTTATTGCATATTTATGATTGCTTTACTCTCGAATTCGCACTTAAGAATTATGTAATTTTAAAATCGAATTTTTTTCCTCCCTCTCTTTCCTCTCTTCCTTCCATTTATTTAACCTTGTTTTGGACGAAAGTAGGGTTGGCTATAAAATTCTATTAAAAATCATTTATAACAGAATAATAATAAAAATTCTTTAAAATTGTACTTAAAATATATTTAAATAATTGATGTTAGTATATATATATTAAATTAAAAACACTTTCAATAGAAAAAAAGAACAAAGAAAAAAAAAGGATATAATTTTTAATTAATAAAATAATTTAATTATAAAGAATGTGAAAGCATTATAATTTAAATGAATTAACTTTGTAATTTTATATCAATTTTTGTTTTTGCTTGCCTTTTATTCTCTATGCCATTTATTTGCTTGTACAACAATAAAAATGTGTACGAAACATAACAAAAAGAATAAATAAATAAATAAAAAGGATAATAAATTAATGTTTTTTTATTTTTGTTACTTTTAAAAACTAAATATTTATGGACCTACATATAACATTAAAATGCATGTATATATATATATATATATATATATATATATATATATACAAGAATTAATTAGATTTGTGTTTCTTATATTCAATTTAATTAGAATTTATAAAGCATTAATATTTAACATTTTCAGGAAAAGGGGTACATTTAAATAATGGAAAATCTTAATTATGATTTATTAAAAAAAAAAAATAGTAAGATTGAAATTAATTTATGCATCTTGTAAGAAAATAATAAAAAAATACACCCCTTACTTGTGATATAACATAGGCGCTAATCTATAAATTTCCATAAAGATTTGAAAACGTGTGCTCTTTTTACAATGTTTGTTTAAAAAAGACTAAACCTTTTTATAATAATTACCGACGTAATTAACAAAAAAGATACCTACTATATTATTATGTTATTTATATTACAGTGTTAGTCAGGATCGCCGTTTTGGCCCAAAATTTCCAAACGCGGAATTTTTCTGTTATAAAATATAAAGTTTTCTGTTTTTTCGCATTTAATCCTACTTAGTTCATTTGGGCAATGGGTTCAGTTTCATTTATACACACGCTGATATTTTAAAACCTTTTATTGACTTGAGAGAATAATATAAATTTTAAGCGAGAATATTTCTCGAACTATAAATCTTAATATACTCTTAATAATACAAACTCACTTCGTTTCAGATGAAGTTTTACATTACGGTGATAATATTTAAAACCTAAATTACTCTCACTTACTGTCTAATTCCCTTTGCTGTATATTATTCAATAAATGCTCGTACTCTTCACTTAACACGTAACAAAAGTATCAAAAATTTTTACATGATATATTACGCTCTTAATTATTTTTGTAAAACAATTGAGAAAGAAATAAATAATCTAATGAGAAAAAATGAGAACCTTATTGAGACATTTACAATTATTGTTATTGAAAAAATTATTTTTAAATTCACAATCTCTTCTCACCACGTTAATGAGGAATTGAATTACACAATAAGATTCTATACTTCAAAAATATCCTATTTTAAATAAGACTGATATTTTAACAATAAAATGTTGCTTATGTACATATTTTGCAATTTGAACGTAAGAGATTATTTCAAAGTATTTTTTAACATAAATATCATTAAAAATGTCAACATCACTTTAATAATTTTCTCTTACATTCTAATTAGCAGCATTAATAATAATTTTCTATATAAGAATAAATAAATCACTTTAATTATTATTAAAACTCAAATCTAACAAATAAAAAAATAAACATTTTAATTTAAATTGATATTAATTACAACTTAATGATAATAGTGAAATGCTTAAATATTAAAATGAATAAATAAACACATACATATATTAAAATTATGCTTACCTTCACATCATTATTTATAATTATTTTAATTTAGAATTAATTTTTCAAGAATATCAAGATTGTAGTATTAAAATGTCAAGTATAGAATGCATCATACATTTAAAGTGAGACAATGAAAATGAGCAATTAAATTTTAAATGATTGAAATAATATATATATATGAAGAATTATCTGATTATAATTTAAGTATATTTGCCACGTTCATAAAGCATCATAATCTATCATATTTGTATATATGAGTTCATAAATTTCAAATAGATTATTTTTTAATTTTATTTGATTTTAATGTATTTTATAATATAATATGATTGACGTGTCCTTGTGTCGTGCAACATTTTATATACATTTATACGGTTTTTTTTTTTTTTACATTATATTTTTCAAAGAATATAATAGAATTTGAATAAAATATTGAATGTTTTGAATTCGAATTAAAATAATAAAAATAAAAATTTGAAATTTTTTTTTTGAATTTTCAATTCTAGATGGTATGGCTGATTGCTCTGATAGTGAATGTTGTGCACATCCATCATGTTCCGATCATATAATGTGTTTATCATCAAATGATCCAGTTGAAGTATTATTAAGAAAACAACCACCATCTGTAACAGCATCATTTTATCAACGTGTTAAATTTTTAATTGAAGAAAATTCTGTACAATCGTATGCTCATGTTGATGAATATACCGAAAAGTAAGTAAAAATTTTATTTTATATAATATTTATATTTAAAAACAAAATAGAAAATTTTGAAAAAATATAAATAGAATAACAAAAAAAAAATTAAATTTTAATAAAATTTATATTATTAATATTATCGTCAGTTAGCATTTTTTTTTACGCGAATTTTACACACAATAAAAAAAAAATCTACAATTTTCTACAATGAATTTATTATTAAAATAATAAAAATTTATTTATTAAATTATTTTCCTATTAAAGATCAGATTATCTCTATTTATATAGAATCGTGATAATATTTTTTTTTCATTTTAGAACCACAAAATTTAGAATTCAGTTAATTTACTACTATTATTTTTTTTTTCTTATTAAATTTTTTATTCTTCATATTAATTGTATACAACGAATCGCCATGTAATGAGCGACTGGCTTATTGAAAATGGCGAATGAAGCGACCTATTGAAAAATTAAAATTAAATTAAATTTTTAAAAGAAGAATAAGAAAGAAAATTTAATATTATTAAAAAAACAAATTATATTTTTGTGTTTTTTTTTAATTTTAATTAATTTTGGTATGAAAATTATTCAGAATTCAGGATGAAATTTTGTTTTAAGAGATATAGGAAACAAAAAAAATTATGAAATGCACCACAAATTTATTAATTATTTTTTTTTTTGTTTTTTTTTTTTTTACTAATATTATTTTTTTTAAATAACAATCTTGTCTTCGTATTTAAAATTTAATAATAATTTTAGAACAAATTTTTTATTAAGAATTCTTGAAATCAATGAGGACATTTGAACAAAACCAGTCACAAATTAACCAAATGAAGTGTATTTTTTTTTAAATTTATTATTTTCAAAAAAAAAAAATGTATATATATAAAGTTATAATTTCCGTCTTTTTATAAATAATCAATTTTTTGGTGCAAGAAAAGAAAAAAGCTCAAATTTACAAAATAATTAAAATAAAATCGAAAAAAATAATTAAAAAAAAAATTTATTTATTAAATTATTTTTAAATATACAAAAAAAAAAATAAAATTAAATACACATATATGAAATTTTAATTTTAATTATATTTTTAATATTATTTTTAATTTTAAAGTCATTGTTAAGATTTATTATAAATAAGAAAAAAAAAACAAAAATAAATTTAACCAAAAATCCTTTTTTATTTTAATTTTAAATAATTTTTTTGATTTTAAACAATTTTTTAAATAAACAAAACTTAGCATATTTTTATTTCATCATTTTTAAAAACCAAAAACAAAAAATTAAAATAATTTAAATCACAATATTTTTTTGTAGAATTTTTTTATATATAAATTAATATATATATTACTATTAAATAATATTATATAAATATATATACATTAATACATATATATGTGCTGTATTAACTTGTATAATTTCACACCACATATATGTACATGCATATACATATATATTTATATATTATAATTTCGAAAAAAAAAAAATAAAATAAATACCTTAGTTTACTCCTTAAATCCTTTTTCCCCTCTCAATGTTAGTCTATCATTTTATTTTATGAGAAAATTAATTTTTCCCAAAAAATCACAATTAAAAAAAAAATATTTTTATATAAATATTTTTTTTTCTGTTTTTTTTTTTCATAATAAATAATTATTATATTAAATATATTAAGTTTTTCTTTTTTATAAACAAAATATTTATATAATTATAATTATATTGAAGAAAAAGTTTTGTTGAAATTAGAAATTTAATAATTTATTTAAAATAAAAAATAAAAATCTACTAACATTTTTATTGTTAATATTTTAATTATAAATCAAAATTTAATAAACAATAATTTATATTTTATTGTTTTCATATTTAATATAATTAAAATCAATTAAATTATTAAAATGAAAATAAATTATTTTATATATACAAAAATAAAAAATATAAAAGGTGAATAATATTATAATTGTTAATTTAGAATTTTTGATGATAGTTATGTTGTTCCATATAGTTAATAATATTATATTTAATTTGAAAATAAAATTTGAAATTTCATACTGCTCCTAAAGAAACACAAATATAATATATCACAATATTTTAATAATAAGAATTGAAGAGAATTCCAATATATTATACATACCCTTACCAAAATAAATGTTTTCCTATGTGTTGTCATTATTAATGAGATAACAGATTGAAAAGATATTATATGATTATTTTGTACTCGAAAGTTTGCTCTCTGGTAATTAAACTAAGAAATTGAGTAATTCAATTATATTAAATAATAGTATGATTCTCAGTTAAATTCTCCAGTTTATCCAGTATCATTCTCAGTTCAGTTTCAATTGACTGAAATTTTACTCTCAATTCATTTATTTTTCTACTCAAATGCAATGTTTAACAAATTTTTGACTGCCATTCGTATATTTTCCTTGTAATATACAAACGTAAATTTTTCTTATAAGTACAGATTATCAGGACAACATGTATTTCTTGTCATTCTTTTATAGATGATAACAAAATAATTTACTTAATTAAGAAAATAGTTTTTCGTATAGATTTTCATTATAGCACTTGATCCAGTGGAGCTTCAGATTTATTTGTGCACTATTTTTAATTTATTCAATATAACATTTAAAGTTTTGTATTTAACAGAATAAATATAAATATTGGGAACAAATATTCATTAAATCAGAAATTCTATTTAGAAAGTCTTCCTTTTCAGAAATTCACCTATTCACCTTTTTACTTAAAAAATTTTCCGAATTTTTATATATTAAAATAGTAATGTAAAACCGAACGGTTGATAATTTTCTTTTATTTTTGGAGAATTTTTATATATTAAAATTCCATATCAATTCAGATTTTGAAATAAACAAAAAAGAAAAAAAAAATTTTTTGTTTGAGCTTTTTCTTTTCTTGTAAACCTTTTTGGACTATTTTTTAATTTGATTAACTTCTTTATTTGGTTCATTATAAAATTTTTCAGTTAATATCAAAAATATTTATTTTTCTTTTAATTTAAAACTTGCGTATTTTTATATTGAAACCAAAAAAGAAAAAAATTATAATTTTTTTTTTTTACCAATTTCACCTAAACAAAAGAGAAGAAAAAAAAACACAAATTCGCAAAATATTTTATTAAAAAAAAATTAAATAAATATACAAAAAAATAACATTTCGAGTTGAATAAAACAAAAAAAAAAAAAAATTAAAATATCAAAGCCACAACATTTAGAAAATACGAAGAAAAAGCTCGAATAAAATTATTTTTTTTTTACTCTATACATACATAAATATATATAAAATTACAATTTAAAAGAAATAAAATATTTATAGTTTGTATTGTTTGCATTTATTTATTAAATTTTTAAAACAACAAAATAATAAAATTTTTTTAATTATATTCCAAAAAAATATACAAAATTTTAGTAAAATATTGAAATTCAATTTAAATAATAATATAATGATAGAACTTCATTGAGAATGTGTGTTGTCTAATGTTTTACATCCTTGTGTTTGTCTAAACCTTCAAATTTTTCATGTCGATTATAAGAATATTTTATAATATTAAAAAAAAAACAAAGTTTTAAAAACAAATAAAAACATTAATAAGTGGAAAAAGAAAGCAATCAACAATTTTCTTTTTGGTTCAGAATCAAAAAAAGAAAAAAAAATATAAAAGAGAAGAGGAAAAAATGGAAAGGATTTTCGTATTATTTTTTGTATCATTCATGAAAATTTAATTATTTATTTTTTTATAATAAACTTCAATTATTTCCTTGTTAATTCATTTTCATTTATAATTTTCTTTTATATTTTGGTTTTTAATTTTTAAAAATTAAGTGTTATTTGATTATACAATATAGATGGGCCAGAATTGATTCGTTTTTTTTTTTGGTTTTGATTAATTTTTAACTGATTTTAGGTATTTTTGTTATAAATTTTGACTAGTATTCGTTTTAATATTATAATTTCATTTTTGAATATATTGGTGCTAAATAATGTTTTTTTTTTTAAATTAAATGTTATAGTATATAGCTAATAATATGATTAGAATAAGAAAGCAAATTAACTAGAAAATTTTTATTATTAAAATTATGAAAAATTTCCGAATTACTGTTCATAATACCAATAATGCAATTCATTAGAAGCCTAACACTAGGCAGTTAGCCCCCCTGTATTAATTAGTTTTATCAAATATTATTTCACCCATTTCACTCAAAAAATTACTTCACTGTGATTTTATTTTATTGAGTTACTAGGAACAATTGAGGGTATTTAAAGTATGTATGACGAAGAAAAGATTATCTCTCTTTTTCTGTTACTCTCATATACTGAAATTGATTTCATTATTCTATTAATGTAACAATACAAATTTGATATCAGATTTTGTATGAAATGTGAATTTGAAACAAAAAAATAATAAAAATCACGATATTCGGTTATATTATGCATATCAAACATAAATACCTTCCAAATTTTAGTATTTCAACCTAGTATTAATTGCACTTTAAAACCGGAGGAGAAAGATGCAACATTGCTTTTTATATAATATTCTGATTCATGCCAGGCTACCTTAGGAATTATAACGAAAATTAATTCATTTCCAGCTTTTCTTCCAGAATTGAATTTAAATATTAAAAAGAACACAATCATAAGGAACAAAAATTTAATAAAAACAACATGACAAATTCTAACAGAAAATGTTATTAAATTTGAAATTCTTGATGTTCATAAAATTGTAGACAATATTAGGTTATACCCATTTAAAATTAAAATAAACTGATATTATTTTAGCGTCAATATGTTTATAATAACAAAAAATATTTTTTTATTGTTATTTAATTTTTTTATTATTTAAATTTATTAAAAAGAAAAAAAAATTATTAAATTAAGAAAATTTTAGTTTTTGTTTTGCTATTTTTTAATATTGCTAGTCTTCCTTAATATTTGGAAGAAAAATAATTAATTTTAGAAAATTGAACAATGAAATTTTTTTTAGGATAACATAAAAATTTCATTTTATATTTTCTTGTCATTATTTTTTTTTTATTTATTTATTTTTAATAATTTAAATAATTTTTTAATACATCATTTATCGTTTTGTTTTTCTGTTTCTCATATAATCGAAAATAAAATTAAACAAAATGATTTATACTAAATAAATTTAAAAAAAAAAATTTCGCCAAAAACTATATACTAATTTCATGTGTCCTTTTTTGTTGTTGTTATTTGAGTTTAAATTTTATTTATATTGGGTTTTTTATTTTTATACTGTTTTTTTCTTCTACTTCATATTTTATAATTTCATTTAATTTATTTATCTTTTATCGTATTCTATTTTGTTACATACTTAATTTATTTGATTATCAATCAAATATCGCATATAAAATTTTGGAAAAAATATTAAATTTTTTTACTAATAGCTGTAAAATTAGCTTTACGGTTTTTAAATTTTAAAGCTTAAACATATTATATATAGAAAAAAGTAGTTAATAAAAAAAAAATAATAATATTTTCATACTAAAATATTTTGTGTGTAATTTGTATTTGTAATGCTTCCTATATATTTCTAAGATAATTATTTACAATTTTTATTAGCGTATAAATAATACAAAGTAAAAATTTTTATTCTACTCAACACGGCAACATTCACAATTAACAGATTATTTTGAAAATTAATTTGGGACAGTTTAATAAATAATGGCGTTGCAACATTAGAAAACCTTTTCGAATAAAATTTTTTAATAGAAAAAGAAAATTCTAATGCACTTTATGTAGAAAAGATATGTGGCTTTTAATATCTGCAGTCCCTTAAAAATATTTCAAAAAATTTTAAGAGATCCTATATCTTCAATTGTGAAAATACTGTTCAAAGTTGAATAATTAATTAATTTATGTATTAAAAATATAAGAAAAATTTTATATATTACTTATTAAATTATTAAGTAATAATGATTTTTATGTAATAAAATAATCTAAACACATTTTCAGTAGAAAACTATAAAATTTCTAATTAATTTCAATTGCATTGATGGCAATAAATGAATGACATGTCAATTTATTGCTTACTCAAATTCTCACTTAAGAGAATGGACAGGTCACATCTCTTCTTAGAATAATGCGATATTCAACACAATTTTTATATGATAATCTCTCAGATTTTGTTTTCTTAAATTTTATGTTTTTATTTTATTATTTTTATGATTGTTTTTTAATATTTTTGTTTTTTATTGAAATTTTCAATTTTTGTCTTTAATCAAATCAAATTTTGAAAATTTTTGCATTTAACATACCTGAATAAAAGTGAATCATAATTTATGAATCAATTTTTGCAAAAAAATAAAAAAAAAAATAAAAACAAAAAATACAGAAAAAAACCAAGGAATTAAAACAATTATTCAAAATAGTAGTAAAGGAAAAAAAAAACATGACCAGAAAGGACTCTTATTGAATTTGCAAAAATAAAAAAATAGAGAACAATTGTCTTAAATAAAAAATAATAAAGAAAAAAAAAAACAAAATAACTTAGAATTTAACACAAATTTTTTTTGTTTACTTTTTTTTTTATTTTATTTCATGTAAGTGTTTGTATTTTTTGTTTCATCACTCTTTTATTTTATTTTTTATATCTCGTTTTTTTTTTTATATTTACTCAAATATTTAAGTACTAATATTTTTTTTTTCAAAGTTAGATTGAGAATAAAATCTAAAATTTATCTGTGTTTATTGAGTGAAAATGAAAAAAAAAAATTCTTGAGTAAAAAAGTATGAGTGCGTTGTTTATTGTCTTTGTGTGTATTTTGTTCATTAAATTTTTTAATTTTTTTTTTCTTTTTAATTAAAATGTTTTTGTTTAGAATTTTTGTTTTTCTAATTTTTGTTTTTATAAAACAATCAATTATAAATTTTGGCAATACACATAATAAAATTTATTTAAAAATATTTTTTTCTAATAATTATTTAATTTTAATTTGAAAAATTGCACATAATTTTAAAACAAAAAATCTAAAACCTCATATAAATACATAAAATCAAAGTAACTATAATGAACACCTATATTTTAAATTTTTATAGGTATTATAAGTTAAATGTATGAAATAAAATTGCAGCTCTGACTACGCGTTATAAATTCAGTGTATAATTTACTCTAGTGTTCTATTTATTTGATTTAATATTGTAATATTTGAAATCCGTAGCATTACTAACCCTAAATTAATATTGTGATACAAAACTTCTGGTTTGCAGTATAACGATGTAATATACAACATTGTATATTAAGTTTTGTGTCTAAGAATTTCTCATTGCAAAATATCTAATATAAATTCGAATTTTCTAATTGCAAATTATTGAAAGTAATCTACAATATCATAGTTCTTACTTCACTATCACAGCACTTGCATAACAATTGAAAATTGTTTATCAATTATTGCTCATAATTTACGCAAATATTTACATATATATTTAATAATATTATATTTACAAATAATCATTCAGAATTACCATAAAAAAGAAATAATAGAAGGAATTCAAATGATCGTTCAACACTGTGTCATTTCTAAAAAAATTTTTAGCAAAGTATTATGACTTATTTTTAATACTATTTAATAGGAATTTTGATATTAACGTTCGAAATTTTAATATTTTCGACAATCAAAATGTTCTAAATTTAATAATCCTTATTTTAACAAATAATTATCAGAAATTACTACATTCAAGTAGAAAATCAGTTCAAAAATTATTCAATATAAAAATATTTAAAATTAATGAAACAATTTCAAAGTTGTTTTAACACTCAACATACAATGTACATATACACAATCACTTGCACATTTACAATTTTAGTTCATAATAATGTGTATGCCAAAAAAAAAAAAGAAAAAAACCCCAATTTCCCCATAAAATAAAAATATATTTTACTATTTCTCTCTAATCAAAGAGATATTAAATTTCTCTTACATTTTTGTCATCACAGTTATTGTTAATGTACTCAAAATTTCAGTTCTGATTTAATTTTTTTTATTAATTTTTTCATTTTATGATTTTTTGTTTTTGTAACAATTAACATATTAACATTTTTAATGATTACAAATTTTTTTCTTTTTTTTTTTCTTAATTTATTGTCCTGTCTTCTTTGTGTCCCTGTTGCTGTGGCTCGGTATCTTCATGTATGTGATCAACATAAAAAAAATCGCAAAAAAAAAAATAAAAAAAAAAAAATATATACAAAATTTTAATGAACGTAAAAATGAATTTGCAAAAAAAAAAAAAAATTTTAAATTAATTCAAAAAAAATTTAAACAAAATAACAAAAAAAAAAAAAATACAAACAAATTTTTTTAAAATCGCAAATTGTTTGAAATTTTTAATAACTTTTTACTAACAAAACATTTTTAAAACAAAAAACAAAAAATTCATATAACAATAATAATAATTTTAAATATTAATTAAATAATTATTCTTCGAATTATTAACGAATTAGTCTTTTCTGGAACTCATTCATACCGGGGTAAGTGGAATGGCTGTAAATAAAAACAAAAAAAAAAAAAAGAAATGTTAAAAAAATCAAACATTACAATTCTTTTTTTAAATTATTATTATACAAGCAATCATGTTTAGATAAAAAAAAAAATCTTTAAATTTCATTTAATTTTTTTAATTTTTTTTATTTTATTGGTTTCTAAAACACGAAATAATTTTATTTTCTCTCTATTTGTTTTTTAAACAAATTTCTTCTTAATTTAAAAAACTTTCATTCAGAAAATATTTTCTTTGCCAATTCATTTTACTTTATTTGTTCGTTCTTTTTCTTCCAACAAAAAATTATAAAATAAAATGCTTGGATCAACAATGCTTTTTCGTTACAAAAAAAAAAATTATTTTTTGAAAACATAAAATATAAAATAAAAATTGAAAAAATTTAATTATATTTTAATAAAAATTTTAAAGAATTTCCATTTTATTTAAATATATATTCGCCATTATTATAAATCACTAATTTATAATTGCTCAAATTATTATTATTTAACATGACTAATGGTAATGAGCTAAAGTGAAATTTTAAGAATCAAAACATACTTGTTATTGGTCTTTCACTCATGAGTACTTCTTTACTACATAGAAGTAGATACAATAAAAGTACAATAGATTATTATTTTTATATATATTCTCCTGTACAGAATGAGAGATCTCTGTACAGAAAGATTTCTCTGTTTAATTCAACAATATGAATTAACATTTATACTATATAAGGTAAATAATATTGATATATTCAAGTAAATTCAAGTTACTATAAAATTATGTTCCAAGTTATTTGTAATTTTTAATATTCTTTCAATGACTACAAAGAAAAATTAAATTCAACCACCATTAATTCATTTATTTAAATACAAATTCATGTTAATATAAATATGTAAGTTTTATATATAATACTTACAAAATAGGCAAATTTTAAAAATTACTCATTTAATACAATCTGAAAAACTATTTTAGCCGACGTTCTCTTTATTTCACTTCCAATACTTATCTACTCTTTTCGAATAAATCATCCATAATTCATCAGCATTTCCAAGCTCTGATTTCAACTATTTTAATTTAAATCTAAGTGAAAAATTTCAATAATTTTTTATAATCAACTCTTTGACAAAAAATTTAATAAAAAAAAAAAATACCTCGATTTATTTTCATTTCATTTGATTTGATTTATTCAAACCGCTTCTTTCTCAACAATTTTTTATTTTTTTTTTTTTTTTACTTTTAAAATTCTATTATATTTTTTCTTCAAAAATTTATTTATTATGTTTTCTATCTGATTTCATTTTATGTAAAATCTATCACAACATGCTACACTTGTAAATAGTAACAAATGGAAACGATATTAGATTTTATTAATAAAAATTATAAAAAAAAAATATATATATATATAAAAATAAAGTATATATATTAAAAAAAAAATAAATATCATTCAGTATATATAAGCAAGAATTGAATAAATTTAATAAAATAAAAAAATTAAAATTAAAAAAAAGTAAATTTTATTTATTTTGTACATATACATCAAAAAGTATCGGGCATTTTGCAAAATTTATTATGAACGAAAGTTTAATTTTTTTTTTTATGTGTTTTAGTCAAAATATTTATAAATACATGTATTTATATATTTTATATTATATACATACATACTAATAAACATCTATATGTCATTGTTCTCGTTTTTTCTTATTATTATTATTGTTTTCGGTTTTCTTTTTGAATTTTGTTTTTTTTTTACTAACTTAAATTAAAAATTAACTTGTATGTGTTACGTGTTTGTGAAATTTTATAATTTTTATACAAAAAAAAATTTTATTTAATTAATTTTTTTTTTTTTTTTTTTTTTGTTTTTTTTTTTTTTTTAATTATTCTTTAGACTATTTCAAATATTGAAAACAATTCTACAAAACTTTAAAAAATTCAATAAAATTGTGTATATTTTATAAATAAAATCAAATAAAAAACTGTTATACGTATAATATTATATATAATTTTTTTTTTGTAATATTTTAACGGAATTCTTTGACAGAGTATTTCAAAATTCAAAAATGGAGAATGCAATTTTCTTATTACTCTTTTTTATTATCATATTTTTTTATTTTTTATTTAAAAATTTTTTACGATATGATTTTGTAAATATATTAAAATTTTATTTCGATTAAAATTTATTTTAATTATTTATATTATTTATTATTTTAATCTCATTAATAATAAGTATATATTGATTTGTTTTTTTAAATATGTAGTATATTTGATACATTTTACTGTTTAAAAAATATTTTTTATTTTTGTTTAAGGATATGGGAGGGTAATTTTGAAAATATATATTATTATTTTGATTCAAAAAGCCCTCCTATATGAAAATATAAAAAAATTAATTTTTTTATTTATTTTTTTTTTGTATAAATGTATTTAAGATATGTAACAAAAGATTATAAGAAATTTCTTTCAAATTCATTTTTTTTTATCAATTTTTCAAAATTTCAAAAATTATTTTTAAGCCATAAAATTTTTAAAATGACTTAATGATTATTCAATAAAATTATCTTCTGTCAAAATGCACTATTCGAATACATTTAAATTGAACTATAACTTTTATATTATTTCCACACAGACTCATATTTTTGAGAATATGGAGAAAATTTTTTATCATTTTGCTACATAATTCCTTTCAGTTGAGTCAATTACTCAAAAAATAATTACCATTTTAATACAAATCAAGTATCAAACTGACTTAAAGTTAATAGAATGAGAAAAACATTTAAAAATAGAATTAAAAAGAATGAGAATAAAATTGCTTAAAAATAATTAGAGCATCACTTTTTAACTTAAATTAATGTATGGGACATAATACAAATTGAAATGAGAAAACGGATCAATTTTTTTTATAATGACTAATACACACTGATATTATCACATTATCAGAAAATAATTAACAGTATATTAAAATAAATTGTGTTTGTTAATTAATTTCAATAGGTGTAAATTAATATCTGTATTTAGTAATTTATTAAATTATTGTTTACTTTCAAGTAAAGAAGAATTGATCCCTTTTCTAAATACATGCGTTTTATATCAATACATTTAATCGCTTGTACACTCTTACTATTATTAAAATAGTTTAATCGGAAATTTTTCTCATATTACTACAAAAAGAAAAGAGAATATTACTCTTAAAATATATTTTGTTATAAAAATTTGAAAGTAATTTCAAGAAATTTACAAAAAAAAACATAAATTATAAATAAAACCAGAATTTTTGTTATATTAAAAATATGTAAAATAATTAAGTTAAAATTTCGCAGACAAAACAACAACAAAAAAGTACGCATTTTTTTTTTTTTAAATAAAAAAAATTAGTCCTATATTTTTTTTATTTTTAAATTTTATTCAAAAAATATTTTATGTATAATATGAAAAACGAATTATAATTTTCTTTTCTCGTTTAAAATTTTAAAAAATATGATAGAAAATTGTTTATAAATTTTATTTTGTAAATTATATTTCATCTTTAAATTTTTAATTTTTCCCTATTTATTTATTTATTAATTATTTTTTTTTTTCAAAATTAATGGCAAATTACTATTAATTTTCTCATCTATTTATTTTCAATTTCATATTATTTTTTTTTTTATTTATAAAATTTATAAAATCATTAATTTTGTAAATAATATTATTAAAATTCAAAATTAATTATTTATTATGATTTATTGTTAAATAAGAAATTCAAAAAAAAAATATTTTTTTTCTATATATTTATCTCATTAACAAAATATTATTATTATTATTATTATTGAAATTTGGACGAAAAAAAAAAAATAAAAATTAAAGTTTAAAAGTTCTCAAAATTTTAAATATCTAGTATTTTTTGAGTGAATGCCATTTTGTTTCGTTTTTTTTTTTTGTTTTTAAAGTAAATACAATATAAAATTAAATGTTTTGATAAAATATTATTTAATTACTTTAATTTAGTTATGATACTTAAGCATGTAAATCTAAAATAACTTCTCAATTGTAAAGAAATAATATAATTATAAGAGAGTTTAATAAGAGAATAGTATAAAGAAGAGAATTTAATATGAGAATTATTTCGTGTTGATGAGAAGGGGAAATTTCAACTTTAATACAATAACAAATGCTCTCTCAATTTTTACTTTACTCTTAAATTAATTATATTTGAGAAAAATATTAAATAAAATTATTATTATCAAAACAATTAATTAAAAAAAAAATCATTAAAATTTTAAATAAATTTTTATAATTTTCACTTACGTTTTTTTTTTTTTTTGAGTTCATATAGTTAAGAGAAAAATATTTTCATTTTAATTGTTTTAAATTTTATTCTTTCATATAAAAACAATTTTGAAATGTAGTTGAATATTTAAAATAATTATTAATATTATTATTAAATATTAATTAGGTGAATATAATTATTACATTGAAAATTATTTATAAAACCAAACACATTCGTTTTATGCAAAGCAACAAAAAAAAAAAAATGTGTTTTTATTTTTTTTATATAAATTTTTCTTTTTAATTAAAAAATTAATTGTCATTTTATTTTTTTTTTTTACTTTTATGAAATATTCATGAAATCGTTTAATATAATTTCTCATATAGTATACATAATAAAAATATATAAAATAAAAATTATTGATTTTAATTTTTTTTTTTTTTGAAATATTCTTATTTAAATTTTATTTTTTTTTTTAATTTTTCTAATTTTAAAAATATTCAAATCAAATATATATTTATATATATATACTAAAACACTCTTCGTATTTATTATTATTATAAATATAGAAAACAGAAAACAACAAATTTTTTTAATATTTTCATAAAACTTTAAATGATAAAATAATAAAAAACATCAAAAAAAAAAAAAAAATAATTTTGTTTTGTACAAATATATAACAAATTCATATATATATATATATATATATATAAAATTAAAATATATATTTATATATATATACA